ACCAGCCCATCCAGAAACGATGCTCAGGGGAGTTGAGGTGATCAGGGAAGTCGGGGAGCATGCAGAATAACAAAGGGCGGGGGAAGCTGTCACAGACCCCGAGAGGGGGAGGATGGAAGAGGAGTCGTCGTCGTCGTCGTCGTCGTCGGAGGAGGAGGAGGAGGAGGAGGGGGAAGAGAGGAGGAGGAGGGAGGAGGACGGAGAAGGAGGAAGAATCGGAGGAGGAGGAGGAGGAGGGGAAGGAGCTTCTTGGGGGTCTTTTGAGGGCCTCTTGGAGGGCTTTTTGGGCGCCTTGGGGCATCTTGGGCGCCTCTTGGGACCCTCTTGAGGCGCTCTGGGGAGCCTTCGGGGCGCTTTTGGGGCCATCTTGGAGGGAGTCGATCAAACAAGAGGGGGGGTTTAATTAGCGTCCCCCCTCGGAAGCCCCTAAAATCGCCTCTTGGACCCCTCTTGGAACGCTCTTGGAGTGCTCTTGGGCGCTCTTGGGGCCGTCTTGGGGCTCTTTTGGGGCTCTCTTGGGGCCCTCTTGGGCCATCTTGGAGCCATCTCCAGGCCTCGGATGGCCATCGGAAGCGAAAAGGCGAGAAAGCAAAAATCATTGATTTTCCTTAGGTTTTGGGACGATTTTGGCCTCTTCGGGGCCTCCTTGGGGAGCTGTTTGGCCACTTGGAGTTATCTTGGGGCCGTCTTTGGGCTTCTTGGAACCATCTTAGGAGCCATCGTGAGCGATCTTGCGCTATCTTGAGCCATCTTGGAGCTCATCTTGGGTTCTCTGAGGCGCTCTTGGAGCCGTCTTGGGCCATCTTGGACGCTCTAACTACCCGCGGCCCCCCCCGTCCAGGTCCAGGGGAGGGGGTAGGGGGAGGGGTAAACCCCTCCCCAAGGGGGAAGAGGGAGGGGTGGAAGAGGATCTGCTCTAGACCACCTACGCCCAGAGGGCTGGTGGGATTCGCTTGAAGAGTTTAACAGAATCTACCCGGTGCCAGCTGAAAACATGTTGGTGTCGCTTGCACGCTTGTTACCTTAACAGTAGCAGCTGAGCAAAGCATGCGCTATGTATCCATCATCGCGCCTCTCTGCTCAGCTCGCGACCACAGCGCGCACCGCACAGCGCGTGCTTTCAAAGCTGGCGGCCCGCGCTGCATGATGTGGTACACCCTGGCAGCGTTGCCACGTGTGGCCGCTGCCTTGCTGCATCGATCGGGGCTGGCGCCTGTGCTAACCTGCACTCATCAGCAGATCATCTTGGTGTCGCATGCCTTCGATTCTCGTTCTGGGGACCTTCCTGAGGCCCACCTAACGGATCTGTTCGACTCAGGTTCGACTCAAGTTCGACTCAGATTCGACTCAGGTTCGACTCAGGTTCGACGCAGGCTCGACTCAGGTTCGATTCAGATTCGGCTCAGGAGGGAGCAAATTTGAACCTCAGACCATAAGCGGCCGACGTAAGGCTCTCGCACGGGCGTGAACCAGATTTTCGACGCGGAGATCCCAATGTGAGAGTGTCTGAGGCAGGTCTGCGCGCGAACGGCGCGTGATACACCCCTGGCGGCTCCTGTGTGCGAGGCCCACGTGTAATGCTTGATACATCGGGGTGACCATGGGGCCCTGAAAAGACACGTGCCCGATGACAATGACGGCCATTGTAGTCAAGACGTCCCTACAATCTGGACGCGACCGGTCCGTGGAGCACCTCCTGGCGGCTCCCCCATTGGGAGACTCAAATGCAATACCTGCTACATCGCGGCGGCCATTGGCCTGCGAAAGGAGACGCGTCCAGAGCCGCGAACTGGCGTAAAACAGGGCTAGGATCGGGATAAATCGCTCCAGAGCTTTCTGGAGCGCTCTCAGAGCGTTCCGGAACGCTCTGGAGCGGCCGCGGCGCCGAATACATCCTCTAAACCCGCCGATCCTCAGAGATTTCGAGCTATCCCGATCCGATTCTGTCCCGATCTTCGCGTCGTTTTATGGCGTTTCGTTCGAGGTGTCCCCACAGTCTGGCTTCGAACGGGCCAGCTGAACAGCCCGCGCCCAGCACCGCGAACAGGCGTCTCGCTCAAGACCTGTCCACAATCCGGCCGCGAACGGCACGCGGAGCACCCCTGGTCGGCTCTCCCTCGCGTGGCCCCCGCGCTTGTCCTTGCTGCATCGAGATGGCCATGGGGCTCCGAAAAGAGTCGCGTCCAGAGCCGCGAGCGAGCGTTTCGCTGGGACGTCCCCACAGTCTGGCCACGGACGGGCCCGGGGAGCACCTGCGGTCGGCCCCTCCCCTGGGAGGCCGAAACGCTGAACGGCTGCATCGCTGTGATCACAAGCCTCTGAAAGGGACGCGTCCAGAGCAGCGAACTGGCGTTTCGCTCGAGACTTGCCCGAACCACCGTGGCTGGCATTGGGCATGGGTAGATCTCAGCGTGAGCGGGTCCGAAGGGTGAGCATGAGTGAAAATGAGCGTGGTTGAGGTTGGGTATGAGTGAGTCTGACTATGGGTGGACACGCGTCTGAGTGGGTATGAGGATGACTGAGCCTCAGTATGACGAAGTCCAAGTATGAGGGAGCCTGAGTATGAGTGAGAATGGGGATAGGAGAGGCAGGGTACGAGTGAGTCTGAGTGTGAGCGATCGTGATATCCTCTTGGGCATACTCGCGCCTCACGCGTCAGGCCGCTGAGTTCTGCCCCTCTACGGGGTGAAGTCGCGCGGGAGAGCACGGGCGTGGCCGCGGCTCGCGCAGCGCGATGCGCCAAGCTGGGCAATATCACCTGGAGCACAGGGTGCTCCCGAAGAGGGAGCGCGGTGCTGCTGTGGGGAGCGCCCCCCGGGCTGCCCCGGGGCCGCGAGGGGCGGAGGGCCGCGGCGGGCACGCACCGCGCGAGACCTGCGCAAAAGCCGCCCCGAGCACAGAAGGCCAGCCGCGGAAGGGCCACGGCCGCGGGCATCCCCGGGCCGCTCTCTCGACGGGCGGCTGCGCCGACCGTGAAGAGGCCCATCCCCGCCTTGCCGTGGCCCAGCGCTTCCTCTCCGCAGGCCCCCTGTGCGAACGCAGGATAAGCTGTTGGCGTCGTTTCTTCGTCTAGCGAAGGCGTTCCTGGCCGAGCACCGCACGATAGAGCACGACGCGGAAGCACCGAGGGGCGTCGGCAACGTCACGGGACCCGGCGGCATTCAGCCTTAGACGAGCAGGGCAGCGATGGGTTCCAGGCTAGACGATCGACGCGGTGTCGAAAAATTGTGCGCGCGCGGACGCCGCACGAACCTCGCCGAAATTGATGTGGGCGCTGGCCGAAGTCTCGATCGATTGTCGTCACGTTGGGTGGACCAAGTGCGAGATGGTGGACTGTCGTTTCGTCCTCGTTCGGTTCGTCTTCTTTCATGTCATATCCTTTTTCGTTTCGAGATGGGCGGGGCTCGTCTTGGAGCAGGCTGGGGGTCTGAGGTGGCCCAGCGTTGGCTCCAGCATGAAGGGCGGGCAGGTCCCAGGTTCTGGGTTCGGAAAATGTTCTTTGCCGTGTTCGGCCACCGGGATCCGCTTTCGGGCCCCTTGGACCGTGAACACGGACCAGGGGCGAAGAACTGCGCCAGACCCGTCCAGGGGCCGACTCTGGACGGACTTGGCCTCACCCCCTCTCCCCATGGACCGATCCTCTGGGGCCCCACAACCGGTTCAGAGCCCCGACCGCCCCCTCCAGGGGCACTTGACGTGGGCGCCTGGCCGAGCTCTCGATCGACCGGCGCCACACTCTGGGGCCCCCCGCGGTCGGCGCGTTCTGGGGGGGCGGGGCCGCCGCGCCGCGCGCTCGGCCGGATCTCTGGGGCCCGGGAGGGGCCCCGACGCCTCGCGCCGCCCCCCCCCCTCCTCCTCCTCCTCCTCCTCCTCCTCCTCTCCTCCTCCTCCTCCTCTCCTCCTCCTCCTCCTCCTCCTCCTCCTCCTCCTCCTCCTCCTCCTCCTCCTCCTCAGGCCGACGCCGAGGGCATCTGCCCGCGCCGAGGTGTGCTCGCCTGCGCGTGCGCGGCGGGGAGCGTCTGCCGGGCCCCGCCGTTCCGGCCGGCGCCTGCTCGGCGGGCCCAGCATGCGGCAGGCAAGGTTCGAGCCGGTCTGGACGCGAGGCTCCCGTCGAGGGAAGCTCTCCCTTGGCATCGCTCGGACGTGTGCATTTTTCCTCCGGCGAGGACCATCGAGGAGCATCCTTGATCATTTGGCGAAAAAACCACGCACGAAACCGAAAAAAACACAGAAAATGGACGTCCGAGCGATGGCCAGCTCCCCTCCCCCCCATCACCCCGCCCACATGCACGAGCATTTCATCGCGCGACGCGGCACCTCCGAAGCCAAGTCCTGGCTCCATTGGGTTGCGCATGCAGCCGAGGCTGGAGAGGGAGCCCGGAAAGTGCATAGCACAGCCACCAGGAAGCAAGCTGGCCCCCGCGCCGCCGGCTCCCCCCGGTCCGTGCTGCACGGCGATGGAGGGGGAAGGATGCAACGACGAGCAATCGGACGACGGCGAACGCGCAGGCGAGAAGCAGTGATCGAAGAAGGAAAACGCCATAGACATAAACTTGTGGAGCTCCGCGCGGATTTCTTGGATCCGCGCTGGGCCCCCCAGGCGTCGCATCCGGCGCCACCCCTGGCGAGCTCCGCCCGCCAGGGAGGGAGGGTCCAGCGCAGATTCAAGAAACCCGCGCGGAGCGCCAAAAGTTTTTGTTTATGGCGTTCTATGAAGATGCCTCGGCTGCCGCATGGCACCCTGTCGGACCTGAGGCATATCGTGCTGAGCTTTGCCTGGGACTGCTGCCAGCCTTGTCATTCGGGCCTGAATCCGACGTGCGCTGGAGCGCGGGGGAAGGCTCTCGCTGCAAAAGGATCACGTCGATTCCTGGCATACTTTCTCCCGCCTTCGTCTCTCCTGTCTCGACGATCTTCCTTGCAGGCTGATCAGCGAGCACCTGAAACAGTGATGTACTGCTAGGTATGTGGTGCAAGCTATGTGGTGTAAGCTGTGCGGTGAAAGCAATGTGATGCCAGCTACGTTGTGTAATATACTGGTGGTGCAAGCTACGTGGTGCGAACCATAAGGAGTAAGCAATGTGGTGCAAGCCATGTGTTGCAAGCCATGTGTTGCAAGATATGTGTGTGGTGCATAAGCTCTGTGATGAAAGCTACCTGGTGCAAGGTACGCGGCGCAAGCTCTGTAGTGCAAGCTATGTGGTGCGAGCTACGGTGGGGGCGTTGATTAAGGAACGTGCCCAGGAGGTTTCAGATCCTGGAAGATTCCTTATTTATCTGATGAGAGTGGCGATGACATTCATGGCAAATCCACGATTGGAGCTCCGCCGGCTTCCAGACCGAGGCGTGCCTCAGCCGACAAGGCAGTGAGCGAGGTCGTCTTGGTGCACGGGGCCGTCATCGCGGGCTGCGCCTGCGCCACCACCACCACGGCTAGGCTGATGGTGCACGACCTCTTGCTCCAGGGGCGTGCCCTGCTACGTGTCGGTAGGGTGGTGAGCGTGATCGATGGCGTTGCGGGACACGGCATAGGGTCACGCGGAGTGTTGGTCTGCCAGATGGCTAAAGTTCGTTAACGGGTTGGTCGCTATGCTGGAGGACAGGAAGCTCCCGCTCAACTGGGGCAAAAGAAGATGGCACTAGCGTCGTCGGCCGAGCTCCAGAGGGCTTTGCTCGACCACCCGCAGTGGAGCCTCCCGCCGACATCCGTTGGATCGGCCCACCGCGACCTTGGAGGTGATGCCACAGCGGGGGGACACCGCAGGGTGGCTACTCAGGTCACCAGAGGGCTCGACGCACTGAGGCAGGCAGCGCGGCTTACCGCTATATTCGTGCCTGGTCTACGCGAGCGGGTCCCACGGCCAAGGCGCTCTGGGGGTCGGCTACGTCTGGCATTCCCCCTGGCAGGATGAGGGCCCTCCGAATCGCTGCGGCGAGGTGCGCTGGACGACTGGCACCTGGAGCGGCGCTCAGCTTCAGCCTGCAGCGTGCGGCGAAAGGCTGGAGACGAGACCCCCTGGTAGTGGCTACAGGGATGGCAGTGCAGGCCTATGTCAGTGCGCGCTGGTCGGGCCAAGCCCCCCACGCAGCAGTCAAGGCCTGCTTGTTGGAGAGCGGCCGCCACGGCAACTGCTTGCGGCCTTGGTCTACAGTCAGGGACCCGCTTGCGGCCCTGGTCCTGACCCTGGAGCGCATAGGATGGCGCTTGAAAGCCGACGAAGACAGCCTCACGGACGAGATCGGCTGCGAGTTCGAGGTCCTGAAGTTCTCCCCCCGTTTTCCTGGCCGAGAGAGCTCGCGACGCCACCAGGAAGGCGGCTTCGCTGGAGAAGATTCGAGAGCGACCTGGGTTCCTCTGGCCGTGGCGGCTCGCTCCTCCTGCAGCCGGAGACGGAGGTCTGGACGAAGCACCATTGTGGTTGCCTCCGCTAGTTGGTCAAGCTGTCGCATTGGCCCCAGGCGAGGATGGCCAAGCACAAAGCCGACATCAACCCGAAGTGCTTGCTGTGCGGCAAAGAAGACACGGCACGGTCTTCCACAGGCGACACCGTTGTCCAGCCAGGGAGCCTTAGCGGCGTGACAGGCTGCCTCACGATCTGCGGAGGGTTATCGAGACCGTCAGCAGGATGGACCAGCCCTTCCTCGAGGTCTGTGGGATCGGGCTCTTCGTGGACATGGCGGCCTTGCTGCAGAGGCCACGGTGGCAGCCTCAGTGGGAGCGGCGTCGCTACTGGGATGGCGCGCTGGTGGTTCCTGAGGGCGCCCTGCTCTTCACCGACGGCTCGTGCATCCACGCCGATTTCCCGCGGTTGAGGTGTGCAGGGTGGGCGGTGATCGCCCTGGCGCCGGCTGGCGAGCTCAACGCCGAGGCCTGGGGCGCGGTGCCCCCAGATCTGCTACCCTCCCAGACGGCGCGGTTTGGGGAAGACTACGCGGCGGTCATTGCCCCTACGGAGATCATCGGCAAGTACACCCTGCTTATCGATTGCTTGGGCACCGTCAGGTCTGCGTGGAATCCCTCCAAGGCCCAGTGACCCTCAGCGGTCAACACGCACCCCTGGGCCAGAGTAGCGGACGCAGCTGAAGGTGTCGCAGTCAAGCACATCCCCGCTCACCGTTCAGAGGCAGCGGCCAGGCGCAGCGAGTTCAGCATGATAGAGCTGGACGGCAACAGGCTGGCGGACGCGAGGGCCAAGGCGGGAGCCAAGCTGCAGGCTCCACATGACGACCGAGCACTCATGCTGGAGGGGTGCCTGGCCAGGGCCAGAGACGTTGCCAAGTTCGGAGCGGAGGTGGACGTACACATCACCAACCCTGGCACGAGGGGCGCCTGGCCCATTGAGGCGCTCGAGGACATTGACCTGGAGCCCTACCTGCAGCGCGACCCTGTCGAAGGTGGAGCGCCCTCGGCTGCGGGTGGGCCTGGAGATTCGGCCACCGCCGCAAGCGCGGCGGCTGCGGCGGCCGCGGCAGCGGCGTGCGCGACGGGGGACAGTGCTG